TCATGATAGCTGTTTACAAACATTGGAATTGTGTAAAATGGAGGATGAGGATTTTTTTAGGGTAATGCTAAGGCTAAGTGATGTGAGGCTAAGTAGGAAAAATGGTATGAAATTAAAAAGCAGAATGTTTAGGCTGAATATTGGAGTAGGGGAATGAGTCTGTAAAGATTCCATAAACGTAAGATACTTCAACTTTCCTTAGAAAGGTGTGTAAGAATTATCTGATATTTTCATACTATTAATATCTGTTAGATAAATGGTTCTTCAGCTCTTCAATTCTGCAGACTGCTTCATGAGCGAGAACCGCTGCTATCTACCCAGCCCCCCTGGCATACTTCTCAATCTGCCAGGGCCCACAAATGGGCCACAATGTGTGACAAAGGCCAAACATGAGGGGGGAAGACTAATTATTCATGCAGCAAACTTAAAATGTGGGATTAATTAATTGAGTGTAAATCTCTTTTTAAAACTTCAGTTTCATGATTCTTCTGATGTAAATAATTTTCAACCAAAAAAATTAAGGGGTTGCCAGATTTGTGTGGAATACAAATTACATTGGGATTAAAATATGGGGCCTCCCTGAAAGTAATGTATGTTCAAAAAATATGGCTTCTGGCGCCTTCTCCCTCTTTCCCAGGTGAGTCCCCTGCTATTCCTGGGTGTGGATAGAGGGGCCTGCTTACTACCGACTTCTAAGTGTGATGGGAGCTCTAACCTCAGCAGGAGGGAGTGGGAAGCAGGAGTACAAACCACTCGGGAGAGCCCTTTGACAAGTAGCATCCATGGTGGGTGGGGAACTCTGTGCCTTATTGGATATACTCTGACCACTGCATTTGGGGAAAAGGGATGTCATGGTCAAAGTCGCAGGAAAAGATTTTTGGATGTAGAAAGTTAGACTGAAAAGGGCAGGGAGGGCCCCTCTGCTGACCTGTATTTCTCCAGCTCAGGGCTTTTTCTCCTGTCAGCATTGGTTCTCCACTTGTAAGGGAACTCCAGTCTCTTCATGTGTCAGTATATTTATGCCTGCATCTGTAATTTTCACTCCATGCATCTGAAGAAGTGGGGGGTTTTACCGATGAAAGCTTATGCCCAAATAAATCTGTTAGTCTTTAAGGTGCCACCGGACTCCTCGTTGTTTTTGTGGATACAGACTAACACGGCTACCCGTCTGATACTCCAGAATCATAGCATCTCTCTCTCTGCCCAGGCAGTCAGTGCCTTTCTGCTCTGGCTGGTCCAGCAGTCAGAAAGGTTTCTACTCACTCTGGAAAACTGACCCTTTTAAGGCCCTCTATTTCCCTTCAGCTTCTCAGGAAGCTTCTCTTTGGAGACTATACTGATATAGCTATGTTGGTAAAGCCCTCCACTGTAGATGCAGCCTATAACTGAGAGCAGTTTTTCACCACCTCCCCAAATGACATTAGCTACATTGACATAGCTGTGTCTTCACTTGGAGTTTTGTCAGCCTTGTCTATATGTTGGTTAGGTATGTGAGGTGTTTTTTGTACCCCTGACCAACATCATAATGCCAATGTAATTTCTCAGTGTAGACCAAGCCTCTTCCTCTTCGTTTTTAAAACCCTGCTTTGTCACTTCTGTTTGTTTCCTCCTTTACACTCATTTAAAACCTAGCTGTTTGGAGAAAAGCTGGAGGAGAAACTGGTTTCACCAAGGATGTAGACATTTTGTTCTGTTTTGGCAAGATGTGTTCTCGTGGTGATAATTTTTAATGACCATCCTGTTCAGAGACAGGCTCTCAGGCACCACTCCATCTGCGTAGCACAAGCAGTATGAGACAAAAGAACAGTGAAGATCATCATAAGGGTTTAAACATAGAGTTCCAAATCCAAAACAGAATTTGTAAGTTGTACGTAGATACATTCCCCAAATCACGAGAATAGCCAACATACAAATTTAACTTCCATTTAAATGAAGACTTCTATTAGTCAATTGTGACTGATATTTGCCATTCAGAATAACTTTGTCCTATAATTCATTTGCATTTTGATTGTAAACATAAGAGAAAATTAGTTTAGAATATAGTTTTTTCCCCTCTGTGAGAAGCTTGCTGGGGATATGGCAAAATGTGTTCTTTTGAGGAAGATTGTGTGGAGGTATTAATGTATATAATACCTCTGTCCCTTTTCTCTGACTGATTCATGAAGTGGGATTGGTATTGGCATGTATTGGTGCCTCCAGTCAAAGTTGTTCCTTGCATGGAGTGGAGAGTTTCCAGGCCTCAGCTGTTAGCATTGCTCCTAGGAGGGAGGAAAAACGGGTCAATAAAGCTTTCAGAGTAAAAATAGTAACATATATTGGAATTATGAACAGTTCATTGATGGGGTTAGCAGCATAGGAGCTAGTTTACAATAAGCCTTGCTACAGACAACAGTACTGTTACTGGCTGGTTGACCGGTCAAGCAGTTACCCATGCCACCTCCCTCCACTCCACAAAAATGTATATATTGTGTGTGTGGGGGCGGGGAACCTAGACTAAATCTTAACACACACCTAAAGTGCCTTTTTTACATGTTAGTTTTAATACAAATGTTAGTCATCTTAACCTTTTTGTATGCTGCATGCTAATCTTCTTGTCTGGCAATTAGTAAATGTTGAGTGTCAAATTAAGTTAAAATTAATGGCAGAGGAGAATGTTGTAGTTATTAGCTCACAAGTGTCTTAACTAGTAGTGCGTAGATGTGCTTTCCAAATGACTATGGATTAACCATCAAATGATTGTGAAGATTAATGACTGGCCTTTTAGCTAGCTAATTTAGAACAATTTCTGATAATTAATTGTGAATGATCAGCTTTACAGTGCAGATGCTTTAAGGAAAATAAAAAAATGACTGAAGATAGGTGAATTTAAGTTTTTCAGCTGGCATTTAGCTTTCATATTGTTACAAGTTTACATGAGCTAGTATTTATATCTTAAAGTTGTTAGCTCTGTGCTATTCATATTTAAAAAATAATCTGGTGGCTTCTATTTGAGTGTACATTTTGTTAATTGTTGCCTTCATTAATGCTAACCCTAGCTTTTAAATGTTATGTTTTACAACACTCACAATCTGCTTTGTGAGAAGCATTTCATAAATTCAGTGTCCTGGAATATTTGTTTAGAAAAAAGTTGTTCTTGCCTTCCACATTTAACAGGATTGTTCAAATGTACAGTCCATGTTAATTAAGCTAATTTGCAAATTAAATGAGCAAAAACACAAATTTAGGTAGGCTTGCTGCAATGTTGGTCTTTGCAAAGCAGCATTTTATATTTTTTTATATACAAAGAAAACCCTTAATTAGAAATGCTGCTTTGTAAAGTCCAACATTGTAGTGAGCTTGCTTAAATTTGTGGTTTTCCTACTTTAATTTGCAAATGTATTTTAAAAATGTAATCTTGATTTGAGATTTTTGTGATAGAAACAAGGCTGCTTAAATTGTATCCATTTATTTTTAAAAAGCCTCCTTTACCCTCCCTGTTACTGTATGTGTATGCTTTCTAGCTTGCTTTAACAGTATCACTCGCCTTGCATTTTTCTGTGTCTTGGGTCTGTGTATGTCACCATATTATGTCTGGATTTATTTTCCCATAGGATTACATGGCCAGCATTTAAAGATGGGAATTGTCTGTATTGACCTTTCTTCCCCCACTTTTTGCAGCACACAATAGCAATCTGGAAAGAAATTTCATTAGTTTAATTTCCAAAATACTTTAGCAAATCACTTTATATTGGCTTCCAAAACCATCATTTCTTTGCAGTTTTGGATAAGAAAACCACAACTGCAAAACTGTACTGCATTGTTTTTACTATAGAGCATATATTTAAAATACCCTTAATGAGGTAACGAATAACCTGTAGCTGCTGTGCAGTGCTTCTGTAAGTCAAACAGCTCAGTACTTGTAGTGTCCCTATTTCTCAACAATCTTAGATAGGTGAAGAAATGTATTTAAGCTTATTCTTACTCATTTTGTAACTGATGTGCATCAAACACATACAAGTTAACACTTGACTTCAATACAGAACACATGAATTAATAGGGTTGCCAACTGTCTAATCGCACAAATCCAAACACTCTTGCTCTGCCCCCTTCCACAAGGCCCTGCCCCGCCCCCTTTGAAGGCCCCACCCCTCCACTTACTTCAGTCCCCCTCCCTCCGTCGCTCACTGTCCCCCACCCTCACTCACTTTCGTCTAAAAAGTCTTTCTTTAAACTTAAGGAGCAGATTTTGTATTACAAATTATTTACTCAAGACACAACCTCCCACAATATCTGTGTACCATTTTGGAGTCTGAGGTATGAAAGAACATCTTAAATTACTGTCATGAATTTTTTTAGATGTTCTTTCATTTTAGGATTATTTTCTTTATTTTTTTAAAAGTTGTGGATTTTTCCCGGGGGGGCACTGCATACAAGTTTTAATCTGAAATGAAGTTTTACAGCAGAATTAAACTCTTAAAATAGGAATTGGTAATGGAAATTTGATATTAATGTGTTGAAAATTGATGGGGAGGCTAAAGACATGAGGTAAAAAATCCATAAGAGAGAGACAATAAGAAAGAATTTAAGTATATTAGGAACAAAAGAAATTCGAACAACGGTATAGGTCCATTACTAGATGGAGATTGTAAAATTGTTAATGCTGGAGAAAAAAAAAGTGTTCAGTAAATATTTCTGGTCTGTATTTGCAAAGAAGTAAGATGATGTAATCGTATCCTATAAGGACGATGAAGTACGTTTTCTAGTCCATTAGTAACTAAGGAGGATGTTAAACAACATGACCTAGAAATCAAAATTTTTAAATAAGCATCCAAGAGTCCTTCAAGAGCTTCTTTTTTAACTTGTACATTATGGTGGAGTGGTAGTGGTACCACAATTAAGGTTGAATTTCAGCTTTGCAGTTTGGATACTACTATTGTTCAGTTGACTCTGAATCTACTTTGTAGAAGAATCAGTCTTCTAATTTTGAGTTCTAATGTTCTTGATAATCCTTTGTTTTTTAGGTAACGTTTGAAATGCATAAAGAGAGCCTTTCCCAAATGTACCGGGATTACCAAAGGAAAGGAGATGAAGGAAGTGGAACAGTTCCTTCCACCCCTGTTAGAATTATCTCAGGAGTTAGCAGAGAAGCTGAAATCGCAAGGAGGCAACAGCTTGTGGAGGTGAAAGAAGCTGCTGCTTCTGCATATGTTGGGGCTGATACCGTGGAGCACAGTGCTCAAAAAAATGAGACAAAAGCCTCATCTGAATGTGAGCTACAAAGTCATTCACCATCTAATGAAGGGAAGAAATCTGAGGGAGAAAATGGTCAGAGATCACCTGACTTAAAGAGAGCACCTTGCTTAGAATTTCCTCCACAGACAGAAGCAGTAAAACCGGGGGATTCAGAAATCACTTCTGGAATTGCTGAAGCAACTGCAGATTCTCTGAGTAAAGCTAAAGAACTTGTGGAAGAAACAGCAGCTACTGATGGGGCTTCTCTAACTGTACAAACTGTTTTAGAAGGGGAGACACCTGAAAGCCCAGAAATGCTGGAGGAATTTACACCAGAGGTGGAAGATGATGACTTTGTTGATTTAAAAGAGGAAAGCAATCTGCCTTTACCTTCAGAAGAGTTGGTACTAAAACCCAGTGAAGAGAATAGCTCACCTGAAAATGAAAGCCAAATAACAGTAGCAATGAACGAAGAAACTGTTGAGAAGGAACCTGAGACAATACCTTTAGAATCCAAAAGTGCTGAAATCTTGAACAAGACAAGAGAAGAATTGGCTTCCTTGTCAGAAACAGTGACCTCTGAAGTCCAAGAGGAGACAAGTCAACTAAATTCAGAAGTGAATGAGAAGTTAGAGGAATTAAAACCTGATGGCAGTGAAACCAAAGCAATTGGAGGAGATGCAAACACACATACTTCAGAAGCTTCTGTGACCTCAGAGAAAAAAATTGCCAAGCTTGATGTTTCCAGTGTAGCATCAGACACCCAGAGACTGGAACTAAAACCCAACACAAGCCTGGAAGCAACTCAGCCTCTTAGACCCCTACCTGAGGTAACTTTTATATACTTTCCTTATGCCAAATTAAAATTGTACCTAAAAAAAAAAAAAAAGTGTCAGACTGATTAGTTTGATATTTATAAGAAAAACATAACTCTTTTCCAACAATACAGTTTGAGAAATTAGTGAAATTTTGTACAGTTCATAGGATTTTTGTAGGCTCCTGAAGAAGCACTTTGCTGACCCCCAGGAGTCAAATAGCTAAAACTTTAACCAATTTGTGTCATCTGTAGTCTCTAAATCGAAGAATAAAAAGTAGCATTGTGGATTCTGAGCTTTCACCTTGAATTCCCTCTATTTTTTCACTGAACTTCCCTCTTATTTCCTCCATCTCCTTAAGCCCTTCTATCTCTCTTAATCCTCAGAGGTCTCTTGTAGTTACAATCCATCAGTCAGAAAAGAGCTTGCGTGAATTCTTTTCAGACTCTAATGAAAGTTGTAGAAGCCATTTTTTTAGCTAACTGCTACTAATGGACATCAGTTGAGAACTCATTCATTATCACTAAAAGTATCAACATAAGGAAGTGTTTAGTAAATTTTAACTCCGAATTGGGCTTATGTTTTTGCCCTTACTGCAATGCTCCTTCAGACTTCTGCTTCCAGTTCAGTGATACAGATCATGGTTAAACATTGATGTAGCTGAGTACTTCCCTCCTGCAGAGACACCTGCCAGTCGATGCCCTTCATCCTACAACATTCTTCCTCAAAGGAGGGAGATCACTGTCAGCAGCAACATGTGCTCCCCATGTGGTAAGGTCTAGTTGCTGCTTATTTTTGTCTAGACTGGCAGAGATGGTGGTGCAGTTGTATTGTAGTTTGTAGCTTTGGTATAATCCATCAGTAGTGGCCCTGCAATTGTATTAGTTTAATTTTTAAATTTATGTGCATTTGTGAGTTTATATAATGTCTAAGCTTACAGACTTACTAAATCCAAAGTGAAACTTTTTTCAGTAAACACTGATGAAATTGAATTTTTGTTATTTTGGAACCTGCCTATATTTTATGCAAACAGATATCAAGGCAGGAAGATTCATCAGGACAGGACTTGGCTACTGCATCTGATGGGCAGAGAAGAGATTCCAGATCAACTATGTTTCGTATTCCTGAATTTAAGTGGTCCCAGATGCATCAACGTTTGCTCACAGATTTACTTTTTTCTATAGAAACGGATATACAGATGTGGAGAAGGTAAATCTGTGCTTTGTAGGAAATCATATTTGCTAGCATTGCACTGTAACAGAAATCTAAGGTGTTACTGAAATCTGATATCACTGGTTAAATTGTTTATATTTGGATTTTCAAACCTATTATTAAAGTATGAATTAGTTATTTTGGGGTCTATATCAGGGTCTTCTCAGAATTATTGATCACCAGTCTTCAGGAATGTTTGAAGATGTGTGTATTGGTTGAAGGGTTACATATACATTTTGGATTAAATGTTGGCCCTGTTCAAGTCAATGGGGATTTTGCTATTGACTTCAATGGAACCATGGTCCCACTCTCTGAATAGACATCTCACAATGTGCATCTTCTAAAGAGCATTCACAATGTGTAAGCCAGGAATATATCATTTCTTTAAAGAAACTTCCCCTAAAATTAAATGTCAGTGCTTTGACATAAGCAAACAGGTGCTGCTCTGTACTTCAATATGTTTCTATGGAGCTGAAGAAATTATGTTATTCTACATGTATTTAAAAAAAAATATTGTAACCAAAATCTGCAAAATATCAACCAGTTGTAGCAATGAAGGAAAAATTGGGGCTAGTAGTGCCACTGGTATTTTGGTGTGTTTATAGTGCTATTTTTTATCAGTGTGAGATAGTGAGGGTAAAATTTGATTCTGACTACCACGTAGCTATGCTAGCCCAATAAGAAGATACAGATGAACTATTTAAAAAAAAACACAACAATTTACAGGTGCATAAAATTTACCTTGAGATGGAGATGAAACTTTTGTTTGCCTTTAGAACTGAAGTTTTAAGACATGACTAAAGTATGTATTTAGTACAGCACCAGGTTTACTCAAGATACTGTGGATAATTTAGGATTGCGTTGAAAATCTGTTTTCTGTGTTTTAACCGTAATTAGGTTTTTGTGGTATTGTATTAATTTCTTTGCTTTAAAATTGTAATGTGGAGGACTTGGTTAATATTAACTCTGTTCTTCCAAAGTCTTGAGTTCAAATCTAGTTAATATCCCCAGAGAAACTTTATTTTATTGATTTATACAGTGCTTTTTGCTGTACCAGATGATCACAGACTAGTCTATAATGAATAATTATCCACAGGACTATTCACAACACACTTGGACCCAGTTACTAGGGTATGCTGTGAAGAGGATTAGGAGTGTAAAGGAAGGGTAGTTTGAGGTCAAGATTTAAGTACTGTTGATTGAGCCTTGTGAGGATGCTTGCATGATGTTTTTGGCTGCATCACAGCTCTCTCTGGTTGATGTCAGTTTATTTGCATTTGAAGGAACTTAATAAACTTGGTAAAAACACAATAAAATAGACTTCTATTCTGGATGCTTTACCCCCACCCTCTCGGCATCTTATTTTTTGGGGCAGCCATTCTACAAAGACTGTGATGGACTTTGTGAACAGCAGTGACAATGTCATCTTTGTACACAACACAATTCACCTCATCTCTCAAGTTATGGACAACATGATCATGGCTTGTGGTGGTATATTGCCATTGCTTTCTGCTGCTACATCTGCTACAGTAAGAAATTCATTTTTTATTGCAAAAGTGATTACTTGTGAGAGTGGGTGGGCCTTTCTTCATATAGTACATTACTAGGAATATCTGTCCTCCTGGGAGTGCATGGATTTATATGGGCAGTTCCCTTAGAAGGAATTTAGGCTCCTGCTGTCATTGCCTGAAGAGGGGGAAGAGCCATCTAGAGGGCTTGGGGCCCCAGTGCAGCCTGGAATATGATGTGGTTATTCTGTCTGCATTCTTCCAGTTAAATTCTTCAGCTTGAAGTATGACTAATTATTTTGCCAATGAGCAATAATGGACTTTTTACAGACCTGTTTTCTTCATGGAATTTTTAGTTATAAGAATGATCTTTTCTATAGGAATACATGTTTTCAACTTTTCCCTCCCATAGCATGAATTAGAGAATATAGAGCCAACTCAAGGACTTTCAATAGAAGCTTCGGTAACATTTCTTCAGAGATTAATCAGCCTTGTGGATGTGTTAATTTTTGCAAGCTCTCTTGGCTTCACTGAAATTGAGTCTGAGAAAAATATGTCATCTGGAGGAATTCTGAGACAATGCCTTCGACTGGGTAAGCAATTAAAAGTGCTTAATGAAGGAAAATGGATTTCTTCAAAATAATGTTAACTACCATTTAACTTTGTTTTTGTATATTTAAGGAGAATAGTTTTAGATGTTTATCATACTTCACTTAACCAAATGTCTGACTTTTTGGCTACTAGATCTGAAGTTGTCTAACCTTTCAGTGACTTTTTTCATATGTTGTGTTTATTTACTTGCAGTTTGCCCCATGATAGACTTCTCTTTCCTACTCAAATAATACATACAAGCCTTTTTTATTCTGTATTTAAGTATTAAAATGGCTATGAATGTGGTTAAGTATTGGTAGGCACAGTGAGCTGAAATCCATATTCGGTGCATATTTTCATTTTGTCTATAAAGACGTCTGTGGGTTGAAAATACATCCCAAATAATTGGGTTTAAAAATACCAGGTTTCAGGAAAATGTCATCTTTAGCATATATGATGAAAATTCATCTTTAGATAAGTGTCTGAGGGGAAGGAAGCTTTAAGGAGGGTTTAAATTTTTGTAAAAATAATTCGGGAGATGGTGTAGACGGAGATAACAACTAGAAATGCAAATTTAAAATGAGTGTAATTCAAATGCATCATTGCATACTAGCCCCAGTGCATCCAGTATTATACATAGAGCCCTGTGCAGATACGAAATTTGCATCTGCATCCGTTCTGTGATCCACAATCATGGTCCCTGGATATAAAGCGAATATCCACAGATATTCAGGGCTCAAATTATACAGTATTTGTATAGAGTTGAATTGAGCAGAAAGAGTCTGTGGTGGAATCACTCAGAAGATATCCGGGAAAGGGGCAAATGGTCTAGAAATGGCAGCAAACAAGGAATATCTGGGTCCAGTTGACAAAATTGCTTCAGAAAAAAATACATCAATGCCAATTGTATATTAGAAGGGGTTTCTGGAATTATAAGGTATCCTTTGTATGACTGAAATGTAGCTCTAAATCTAAAGTCAGAGTGTCAGGAATCAGGGCCCCTGCCACTGAGCCTGGGACCAGCTAGATGACCTACAGCCAGTGATGAGCTGCCAAAATCTTAACAACGGGTTCCCTCCTCACCCCACAAAGGGGTGGTTGCCCACCCCCGCTGCCCCGGGACTCCTGCCCCATCCAACCCCCCCACGTTCTTTGATAACCCCCCCCCCCCGGACCCCTGCCCCATCCATCCCCCTCCCCTGTCTGGCCCCGGAACCGGGCAGGAGGGTCTCGTGGGCCACCGTAGTGGGTGGCCACCCCACCCCTAAGAGCCAGAGGCGAGGGGCGAGGTGGGGAGTCCCGGTGGTGCTTTCCTGGGGCAGCTCCCAGGAAGCATCTGGCAGGTCTCTCTGGCTCCTAGGGGTGGGGGAGCATAGCTAGGGGGGAGCAGGGCGAGCGGCCGCTCCCCCCACTGATCACATCAAAAGTGGCGCCTTAGGGCAAAAATTGGGGGGAAATTGGTGGGTGCAGAGCACCGACCAGCAGCTCCCCGCCCGCACCTGGCCCCAGCTCACCTCTGCTCTGTCTCCGCCTCCTCCCCTGAATGCACCGCCCCGCTCTGCTTCTCCGCGCCCCCGCACCAGCTTCCTGCGAATCAGCTGTTCGGCGGGAATCCGAGGAGGGCTGAGAAGCAGGCCGCGGCTTCCAGCTCAGGCCGAGGATGGTGGAGGTGAGCTGGGGCAGGGAGTGGTTCCCCTGCTCCCCCCCCCCCCCCGCCCCCGGTTACCTGCTGCGGCGCGGGCGGCCCTCCTCCCCCCCGCAGCTCACCTCCGCCTCCCTGGGCCTGAGCAGGAAGCTGCCGCTTGCTTCTCAGCCCATCCCGGCTTCCCGCGCGAACAGCTGATTTGCGGGAAGCCTTGGGGGGGCGGAGAAGCAGAGCGGGGAGGCGCGGCACGTTCAGGGGAGGAGACGGAGGTGGAGCGGAGGTGAGTTGGGGGTGGGGTGGGGAGCTGCCGTGTCCCTCGCGGAACAACCAGTTCTAAAAGGGCTTCTAAATTTAAACAACCGGTTCTAGTGAACCGGTGCGAACCGGCTCCAGCTCACCACTGCCTACAACTGAATATCCTGATCAGCCACGTGCCCTGATTGTCTGAGAGGCATCACCAGACCTGATCTTAAGCCCAGCAGCAGTACTGGGTCAGTGGCTGCTCAAGGTTTATGCCCTCAGCAACGATCACTCCTGTGCCTGCCTTCTTGCCTGCCTTGTTCCTGTCCTGCTCCAGCCTTCCTCCTTTTCCTGACTCCGGCTGTGACCCTTGGCTTTACTGCAGGTTCCTGGTTCCTGACTCCTGCTCCAACTGCTAAGCATGATGACGGCCACTTCTCTGACTACTAGGCCTGAGTGTCCATGCTGTGGTTCATGACCGTCAGCTTCTCCTTTTCCAAACAATTAAATCATGGGACAAGTGCAACAGGGCAAACAGAAAAGTAAATTATTAGATCTGTGTACTTCCTTATTTGAAAATAGTGAGAAGATAAAACAAAAAAATGAGTTTTAAAAAAAACTAGAGGAGGAATAGGCTTAGTCTGAGAGCAATTGAGCAACAAAGTAGTAAATATTAGTATTTGTCCTTTTTGTATGTAACACTAATGTATCATTTTTATTTTTCTTCAGTGTCAGTATACAAAAAAAATTTAGCTCATTTGTGTATCCAGTTGTACAAATGAAAATGTTTCAAAGAGAAAATCAGAATGTGAGGACTCAGCAATGCTAACAAATCCTTTTGGATGTATAAGTATTTATATGTGAAATATGAATTCTAATAACTATTTAATTACTCTGATTATTACTCTGATTTAAGTATCTCTTGAGCATTGTTTTTGGGCAACTTAAAAAGTAAATCTTTTTCTCTTATTTGTTTATTTAATCTTTTAATTTTTAATATAAACGCAAGCATGTTGTATTCCTTGCAGTGATGCACCAATGAGAAAAAATTACTTCCCATTATAACACATAACATATACTTTCCTTTAAGTGTGTGCAGTGGCAGTAAGAAATTGTTTGGAGTGCCAGCAGCATGCACAAATGAAACCTATTGGAGAAACTGTAAGGAGTCAGAAAACAATGCAGAGCCTTATAGGAACAGGGAAGTCTGCAGCAAAGGCAAGTATATGACACCATTAAGTAAGGCAAACATTAATACTGCAATTAATGTGTACCAATGGCTAAGTTCCTATGTTTTTTGTTCCATTAACATGCAGCAGAAAAGAAATGTGAATATTAAATCTTAAAGTAATTGTTTAAATATGTAAACATTGGAATTTTCCAATGTTGAAAAAAGTCTGAATCTGTCTTACTTTCCCAGGTTCCCCTATCCATATTTCTTTTAATATGAAATCTATATTGGTCACTGTGCCCTATGTACCATCAGTTTGAAGTGTGTTGATGAATAGTCTCCAGGAGAGTCATGTTTATAGGACTGGAAGGGACCTCAAGAGGTCATCTAGTCCAGACCCCTGCATTCATGGAAGGACTAAGTATTATCTAGGCCATTCCTGAGAGGTGTTTTTCTAACCTGCTCTTAAAAATCTCCAATGATGGAGATTCCACAACCTCCCTAGGTATTTATTCCAGTGCTTAACCATCCGGAAATTTTTCCTAATGTTCAACCTAAATCTCCCTTGCTGCAATTTAAGCCCACTGCTTCTTGTCCTATCCTCAGAGGTTAATAAGAACAATTCTTCTCTCTCCTCCTTGTAACAACCTTCTATGTATTTAAAAACTGTTATCATGTCCACTCTGTCTTCTCTTTTCCAGACTAAACAAACCCAATTTTTTCAATCTTCCCTCATAGGTCATATTTTCTAGATCTTTAATCATTTTGGTTGCTCTTCTCTGGACTTTCTCCAATTTGTCCACATCTTTCCTAAATGTGGTGCCCAAAACTGGACACAATACTCGAGTTGAGGCCTAATCAGCTCAGAGTAGAGCAGAAGAATTACTTCTTGTGTCTTGCTTACAACACTCCTGCTTATATATCCCAGAATGATGTTCTCTTTTTTTGCAACAGTGTTATACTGTTGACTCATATTTAGCTTGTGGTCCACTATGATCCCCAGATTCCTTTCCGCAGTACTCCTTCCTAGGCAGTCATTTCCCATTTTGTATGTGTACAACTGATTGTTCCCTCCTAAAAGGAGTACTTTGCATTTGTTCTTATTGAATTTCATCTTGTTTACTTCAGACCATTTCTCCAGTTTGTCCAGATCATTTTGAATTTTAATCGTATCCTCCAAAGCACTTGCAACCCCTCCCAGCTTGGTATTGTCCACAAACTTTATAAGTATACTGTCTACACCATTACCTAAATCATTGATGAAGATATTGAACAGACCCAGAACTGATCCCTGCAGAGCCCTACTTGTTATGCCCTTGAAGCGTGACTGTGAACCACTGATAACTACTCTCTGGGAATGGTTTTCCAACCAATTTTCATCCATCTTATAGGAGCTCCATCTAGGTTACATTTCCTTAGTTGTATGTTGTTATTACATTTATTTTGTTTCTTTAAAATAAAAACTATGAAACTGGTATTGTAGCACTACATATCCTACGGTTAGTGTTTCCGGGGGTGGTACTTTTATAAACAAGTTACAGAATTGGTTTCTCTTGAATAGAGTCCAGTTGACATTGTGACTGGTGGAATTTCTCCAATACGAGACCTTGACAGACTTCTGCAGGATATGGATATTAACCGGCTTCGAGCAGTAGTGTTCAGAGATATAGTGAGTTATGAAAAACCTAATAGTTGTTTTGTTGCTAAGTCTTTCTTTGTATTTTTCTGAATACTGCGCTGCAGCTACGTGCTAGGCTGCTGCTACATGTTCTGTTATCTAATGGGGTTCATAAATGACTCATGAAACTCTGTGAACTGTCTGGGAGAGTTACAGAACAAGGGTTTGAGGTCAGATGAAGGGGCATATTCACATGTATGTGCGGTACAATCTCTGTCCCTGTGGGGCATGAACTTGTTAAAATCTTTAGGAGCCTGAATCTCTGGAATTCTGCTTTCCTCATAAATGTTGCGTTCATTTTCATTAGTGTGTAGGTGTGAGTGCATATATATATATAATACACACACACACACACGCCTGTATTTAATAATTTCTACAAATATGCACTCAGAAGGGAGCGTTTGTGCACGTTGTACACAAATACAGGCAAATACGTTAACACACATGCATTTCTTGTAAAGTATTACTGAAACTAAAAAAACCCCAGTCTCGTTTCTTTTTAAAATTGGGCACAATAGAATTTGTATTTCTGTTCTGGTAATAGAGCTTTAAATTAGAAAGCCATATTCACTTCTGCTGCAGCTCCAGTTGTGGAATTAATCTGGGATATTTGGCCTACTGTATTACTTTTCAAAACTTGAAAATAATTCTTAAATATTTTCCTCCTTTACTAAATAGACACTTGGCTTCACTTTACAGTAAGTGGTATTAATATCTTTGAGACAAGGAGGGTAAGGTAGTATCTTTTCCTGGACCAACTTCTGTTGGTGGAACGTCTGGAACTGCAGAAGAGCTCTGTGTTGCTCGAAAGCTTGTCTCTTCCACCAGCAAGTCGGTCCAGTAAAAGATTACCTCACTCACCTTGTATGTCTCATATCCTGGGATCAACATGGCTACAATATAGCAAATATTAATAGGTTTGTAAGTATGTGAAAAAGTGCTGTGTGTGCATGTATAATATATATATTTGGTATAGTAATTTGGTCTGATCATCTTGATCATTTATGCAACATTAAGTCTAGTGAAGCTGAGGCTTAAACATTCGTAGGAAAAAAAAAAAGGAATTTGGTCACAATTGTATTTCCCCCAATTTTATAGACTGGGTGAATAGTGACATTGTTCGTCCAGTGCTACACATAAGTTTAAATAATAAAATATCAAGTAAGATGCAACTTTGTCAAAATTTAGGAAACCTAAACTAGAGCAATAGATTCTTTGAGATGGTTTATATCCTCAATATAAGCATGATTGTATTAATGGATTGATTCTGCAACAGTGGTTTGTAGGTATAAATTCTTGTAAGTCAATTTTGCCCATGATGTTTCAGTATAACATTTGTTTACTCATTTCTATTTCTGGGCTACCATATGAAGAGAATATCCCACTGTTTAAATTGTAATGGAAAAATAAATGTTGTTCTTCACAGGAGGATAGTAAACAAGCTCAGTTCTTGGCCTTGGCTGTAGTATATTTTATCTCGGTCCTTATGGTGTCAAAATACAGAGACATACTGGAACCCCAGAATGAATGGAGGCAACCTCATCGTAGCCAGTCATTCAAGGGAACAGAGAATGGAAGTAGTGAGGCAATATCTACAGGTTAGTGACACAAGTGGGTTTGGTTACACATCACATGTCACTTATTATGACTTACAGTGCCTTATAGGACTTCATAGAATTCTACTTAAGGATGTACATAAATATATGTATTATAAACACTTTGAATCTACAGACTTTTGAAAGTGCCATTTAATTTGTTTTATCAGACAGCACTGAGAAAAACCTAGCTTGCAAATTGCTGATGTTGTCTATTTGTTGTCGTTGTTACCTCTGTAGGGCCTAGAAGCCATAGTCAAGAACCAGGACCCATTGTGTGAGGTCCTGTTTAGTGCATGATTAGTCTCATTGAATCACATAAGTAATAGTGATCATTAACTTTAATAGGACTTAAGTTAAGCACGTGTATAAGTGTTTACAGAGTCAAGGCTGCATTTACTTTGTTTAAATTGTAGTAGTGCGTTCTTTCTTTCTTTTCTTCCAAAAAAGCAATTAGTTTTTTTTTTTTCACCTTTTACTGTTGAGTCTGACTCCAACTTCTTTTCATTGTCTTAAATTTTATTCTCGTAGACAGTTTTTGAGGACTTGTCAGAGACTTGTAGAAGTGATTTTTTTCCTGTGAAATGAATTTTCAGTATAATCCTATGAACAAACTAGAAACAAACCTGAAGATAAATACAACATTCTTTAAGTATATATAAAATATTTTAGCAATGTCTTTATCACCTATTGATAGATCTTAGAAGTAATATATATGATGTTGTTCTGTTAACAATGAACTTGAAATAATTTCCCCTTCTTTATTTGGGGGTAACAAGATGTAGAAAACCCATCTGCTACTACTGGTGCTTCAACTCCAGTATCAACAGAAGATTCTGAAAGTTCAGCACCTGTACGAAGAAGAGACTCGGGCATTGGAGAGGAATCAACTTCAGGTCAAGCAAACAATTCAGATGCTGTTGCTGAAGCAGGACCACAGAGTGCCAGTTCAGGTCCAGACGCTATCAGTGAAGTATTATGCACACTTTCTTTAGAAGTCAATAAATCTCAGGAAAACAGGAGTGAGGCAGGAAATGAGTTGACTGAGAAGACTGCATCTTCTGTACCATCTTCAAAAAATGTCAACGTAAAGGACATCCTCAGAAGCTTGGTTAGCACCCCAGCAGATGGTGCCACAGTGGATCCTACCCTTCTGCCGCCAACCTTCCTTGGAACTCTTGGTGATACTGCTGCTGAGCAGCATGTGCAATTCCGTTCCTTTGACAGGTAATGTATTTTCTTTATATTTTGTATTCTTTGCTTAAATTATAATGTAAGGTACAGAAAAATTTTGCTGCATAGCAGTTTGACACTTTCCTGGTTATGTATCTGGTGAACAACCTGCATAATCTCACTTTGTAGTAATATAATGAGGGCCCAGATTTTTAAAGGTGTTTAGGTGCTCCACTCAGCATTGGAATGTCTAAGTAGTCTAAGAGCTGGTCTACACTGAAAACCTATATCGGCATAGCTGCATCTCTCAGGGGTGTGAAAAATCCACAGCCTGAGCCACATAGCTAGGCTGTCCTGCCCCCTGGTGTAGACAGGGCTAGGTCAATGGCAAAATTCTTCCACTGACCTACCTACTGCCCCTTGAGGAGGTGGATTAATTACAGCGATGGGAGAACCCCTCCCATCACTGTAGTGAGTATTTAAGCTGAAGTGTTACAGTCATTGTAGCATTTTAAGTGTGGACATAGCCTAAGTCTCATTTTCAAAAGTGAGCCTAAATACCTTGTAAAAATCTGGGCCTAATTAACTGATAAATATCTTATTATTTTATTTGTGTGACACTGGCTGTGATATTGCCATCACCTGAGACATGTGTTAAAACTGCAGCAAAATGAGGTATTCAGCATGAAGCTGTTGGAGTGTGATCTACAAATTGTTGGTGTAGTTCTCGTCTTTGGAAACCCTGTGCAAACACAGAGTGAAGGAAGTTGAACAATATAACTGACAGCATATTAAATTACTTCAAAAAGTGTCAGACACGTGAAAGTTGTCTTCAGGCCCATGAGTTACAACTGCTATTAACAAGGATTTAGTGTTTTTCACTAATAGCACTGGCTGAGATTGTTTGGATTCTCCATTATTGTAAAACCAGATACAGTTAGGCCGTATGAATATAAATTGTGTTGGTAGATATTAAAAATGAAAATAAGATGGAATACTTGCTAGATTTGTTGGCTAAAGGTATAAAACAAATATCACTTGGAATTAAAATTAAATATTGAATCATCTGAACTTGAAAGAATCAGCTATTAGCGAAAACTGGGGCTGCTTAACTTATTTTACGTTTGTCAGATTATAGAATTCCTAAAACACTCCAAAACATTGGAAGCCTCTCGTGCATGTTCTTCACTGACATAGCAATAATAAATTCTCTGAGTGGGGTATCCCTGCAATAATTTAAGAAGTGCTGATTTGTATAAACCAGCAAGGATGATAAATTTGATATTTTCATTATAGATGCTGTCAAGTCAAATTTTTGAAAACTTTTCAGATATAATTTTCACACTTTAAATAGAATGTCCTGATAGGTTATTTTAAATTGAGTATTTTTAAAGGGGGTTTTCACTCCCCTATTGGAAAGGGTTAAAGTGTTGCCAAAAAATTGGTTTAGGCCTATTCCTTCTCCCCTTTCTCTTTTTACTCTCGCCTGATTGCTGCCTGCCCACTTGCAGTTTCAACCCTGCTGTTGCTGTTACTGATGTAACATCTTGCAGAGTCTGCAGAAAGGGCATGGACCACCAACAGAACAACGCTAGAAAGTTCTGTCTATACTCTATACCAGTGTTTCTCAATGACCGGTCCATGGACCAGCACTGGTAACTGATATCTCTGACACAGTTTAGGAAGACAGCAAGCCGGTCCTTGGTATCAAAGTTGAGAAACACTGCTCTGTACTAAAAGAAAATGTGTTCATTAATGGTGGGAATACAATGCTTACTCACCTAATGATTGCTGGCCTGCCTGTCTTTTATTCTGTGGAGCAAATCCCACTCTCAGAGTAACACCCTTACCCTTCATTCACACTTTCGCTCACTTGAAGTGAAAGTACAGCAGTCCCTTGCTTTTCTCTTCAAGATTATTGTTCTCCATACCTTACTGTTCAGCCTTGTTTGGTTGGTGACTCGTAAAATGGCTTAAAAAACCAGAAATCCTGTGAGACACCAGTCCTCTATGGCTGCAAAGAATTAGGGCATTTAGGTCACAGCAAGAATCCTGCATGGTATTTGGTTGCCAGAGGGGCTGTTATTGGAGGAATAGATGGTATTAGGGATGGTGATTCTTGGCTTGGCATCAGGAGCTGTGGTTATAATGGAGAGTGAGAAGTGCTGGTGTGAAACGGAGGACTGATTGGTGCTGGATCTCAGATGTGCCAATTAACTTAGTGCAGTGCTGTTTCAAAAGGCTATAGACCTGACTTAGCAGCCTCTGGAAGCTGTGGATTTTAGTAGCAAGACGACAGGAGGGCCAAAGAATTGCTGAGATTTGGGTAAAGGTGTTAGTAAAGGCAACATAAGAACAGGAGGAGGGGAGCAAGTTGTTCCTTTTTCTGCCCTAGTTTCCAGTGAGTCTTAATGTGTCCAGGATTTTGCTCCCTTTTTCCCCTCAGCAGTTGCCAGGCAACCCCCCTCATGGTCTCCAGGATCATCATGCTGCACTAGTTGAAGTGCTGTTCTGTTCCAGTGATACATCTGCTGGGTCTTGATGAAGTCTTTCCTTCTCTGAAAGCAGTACCAAATTAATAGTTATCCTGTGATACATTGTAAAACTCTAATGCTTCAACCTTTTGTTTTCATTAAATTTTTCTGTTATGTTGTCTGGGTGGAAAATTTCTTCTGCTAAATTCCTTATGGTTATGCTGAACCATTCTTTCTTTAACTTTGGCTTTTTCCCTGCACATGACCGTTCTTGCAGATTCTGGTCTACTTATCCAAATTATAAGTTGGACAAATCAGTTGAACATACCCTGCATCAAGAAAGTGGAGATATCTAATATAGGATAAGAGTGTGTTAAGGAGAGAGGGTTTTCTTTGATGACAGTTTTAGCCCAAGTTTTTCACATTTAACTGAAACAAAGCTCAAAGGAAATTATCTTGACATGACTACATTCATTTTTTCTACTTAGCAAATGGGTTTTACAATATGCCCAGAAGGAAAATTGGTTTGCGCTATTTTAGATCAGGGAAGGGAGAGTGAATTACATGTAAGGGAATGAGGAATAAGCTCTGTTGGTTTCCAGGGGCTGCCTACCTCTACTTATCTCAGTTGTGGCAGTACAGCATAGGAGAGAAATAGTGTCTTAGATAGGGATAACCCAGATCCGTTAAGGGTAAAAATTGCCGCTTGGAACTCCTCCTAGCAGTCAATGAACAAATAAGTGCAATTTCTGGGTCACTGGAGTCGTGCTCAGGGTGAGGTAGTTCTGCCCACTAGTTTCATGACTGGAAGAAAGTGATAATTTAATCTGTCTCTTCCTTAATTTGAAAGCTTTTCAAAGCCTGGGCCTTATTTTTGTATGTTGCCTAGCAGAATGAGCACCTGATCATAACTGGAGCTCTTGGATGATACTGTAATCTGAATATTTAATAATTAGCTCTAAGAAATAAAACTAAACAAAAAAATCTGTTTGACAGTAAGTTCAGTTAATGTCAAATTGCTTATATGCCAATACATTAACATACAGCTCAGTGAGCAGACCGAACGAGTTATTTATTTCCACAAAAACAAAACAGAACCAAACCAAAATACCTTGGTTAAAAACTCACACAAACTGATAAAAGCAAGGGAATAACCAATTAAAACATTGTTTCTCAAACTTCTCTTCAGGAAAACAAAACCAGTTTTGTCCTGCCATGTGGTATTAAAGGTCTACCTCAATTTACATCTTCTGTGGCTCTTCACATCTACTTTGGAAAACATTTGCTGTAGGTCTTTGTTATATATTTCCTCTTCTTTCCGACATGCTTTGGGCAGTGAAACAGATGATAAAGCAGACATACAAATAATCATTGTCATTTGAATTAGCACCTATTGTTTGAGGCTCTGTGTAAACTTAGCAGATGTCTCTGAAGTGGGTACATTGTTCATATTTTGAAGGTTTTACTCACAACCATAACAGCTAGAGAGTATTTTTAATGAAAATGATAGCTGCTCAATACTCATAATTGCACTTTAAGATGCTCTAAAAATAGGGGATATGTTTCTGTTTTTTTTAAAAGCAAGTGGCCAACTCATGTGAAATTTCACACGGTATTAGTTTTTATGCCCTTGAATTATCTGGATTTTTTTTTTCTGTCTGAATTTTAACAGGAGTTGTTTAAACTTGGGCTCTAGCTGAATTTTTTTACTGGGCAGTCTTATTTTTCATTGTTGACTGATATCTCTTGAAAAAAATGGTCCGTTGGCACAAAAATTGGTAGCGGGCTGGTGCCACGGTGTGTGTGTGTGTGTGAGTGATGGATTTACAGTCATTTTTAACTGTTGCCAACATTGTAACTGAATATTTGTACTGTGCTCACAAACCTGATTGATTATCTGGAAAGGTGCTGGGCCACACGCAAGCTTGATTGACTGATATATTGGGGATGGACCAGACATGCACAGTTTTCTCAGTTAGGAGCTATGTTCTTGTTAGATTTTATCCAATAGAGAAGGGTATGTGCACAGCTGCTGATAAATAAAATATTTTACATCAGCCGCTGTACTTCTATCCCCTGTAGGTCTGTGCCCTCTATCTTGTACAAGTCTGACATCCAATCAAGTATTTAAAAAAAAGAAAATCAATACACAAACTTTTCTGTGAAGTAATTAGGGTTGCTACATGGATACATATTGGAGACAAACCCAAAAAAGCAAGACAATGGAGAGATAAGCTACCTAACAAGAAATACTCTCTACCCCTCCACTCACAAGCACACACCTTTACATTTCCACAACTACCACACTCTGTAACCTTAACTGTCACTCTCTCCTCAAGGAGATGAGCTTTCTTTAACTGTTGTTTTCCTGGACCCCCTCATCAAATGACTTTGACCACACACAACTGACTACTGCACTAAAACCTACAAGTGTTAGTGTTGGTGGAGTGAGAGAGAGGGAATATTCCAGTAATAGGGTGTGTGCAGAAGAAAGAAAAGGTGGCTGAGTCAAGGTTGTGATGGCGGCAAGTTGTGTGCTGTTGAATGGAGGAGCAGAAGGTGTGTACAATTAGGTGCCAA